AATTTGGATCGGCTACTAGATGTAGCATGGAGAGCTTATAATAATCGGGAAAAAGAGAATGAAACATGAAAACACAGACAATTGCTTGCTGTTATGACACAAACCTCAGGAATCTCAAATCGGGGATGGGGTAGAGGACGAAGCTCTATAAGAGGAGGTGGAAGAGGACAAATTGGCAGAGTTCCTCTTGGACATAATCAGTGTGCTTACTGTCGAGAGGAAGGACACTGGGAAAATGAGTGTCCAAAAATTATGAGCCAGCAGACTGGGCGAAACTGGAAAATGGCTAATATGATGGTTCTGGGAGAATATACACAATGACTAGCATTGGAGACAAGCCCAGATGAGCCTTTGGTAATGATAAAGCTGGGAGAAAAGGAAGTTACCTTTTTGGTGAATACCGGTGCAACATTTTCTGTACTAAATAAACAAAAAGGGAAAATTGGGACTAAAAAAGTAAATATTGTGGGTGCCACAGGGAGAGAGGAAAATAGACCATTCTTGCAACCCCTGAATTTACAATTTGGAAATAAGGTTATAACACATGAATTCTTGTATGTCCCTGAATGCCCATTGCCTCTATTGGGAAGAGATTTGTTGTCCAAATTGAATGCACAAATTGTTTTTGAAAATGGGAATTTGTTATTGAAAATACCTGAATCGAAAACAGGACAAATTCTGATGATAAAAGAAAGACCCAGAGTGACAGAGGTGCCTCCAGAAATAGAAAACGCAATGTATCTCACACTGTGGGAGACTGATATTCCAGGGAAATCTAAGATGGCCGAGCTGGTATAAATTGAGTTAAAAGAAGGGGCAAGGCTGGTTAGGGTCAAAGAGTATCCAATTAAACCAGAAGCTAAACAGGGAATAAAGAAACTGATTGATAAATTTCTAAAATACAAAATTTTAGAAGAATGTGAATCAGAATACAATACACCAATACAGAATTACCTAAATGCAATGGGTACAAATACGTGTTGGTTGGGGTTGACACTTTTTCTGGATGGCCAGAAGCCTTTCCCTGTCGCACGAATCAGGCTAAAGAAACTGTTAAATGGTTATTGCAAGAAATTATTCCAAGGTTTGGAGTCCCACTTGGAATGTCATCAGACAGAGGACCACATTTCGGGTCAGGTTGGTTTACTTCCGCTTCCCGTTGGTTTACTTCCGGGTCGTTCTCTTGCCGCATCGTCGTACTTTCTTTTTCTTTAACCCTGTGTCATCTTAAGGTGGTCTTTCTAAATTACAGAATTCTTAAGGTGGTGATTCCAAGCCATAGAACTTTATATAATCATATCCATTTTAGTTCATGAAGCCTCCAACACACTAATTCTTCCGGTGCGAAAACCAAATGGAGAATATAGGTTAGTACAAGACATAAGACCTATAAACTGAATTGTCAAAGATATACATCCAGTCATAGCGAACCCATACACCTTGTTGACAGCCTTAAAAGAAAGCTATCAGTGGTTTACAGTGCTTGATCTGAAAGATGCATTCTTTTGTATCCCTTTGGAAAAGGAAAGTTATAAACTGTTTGCTTTTGAGTGGGAAGACCCACAAACAGGGCGCAAGACACAAATAACATGGACACAGCTACCCCAAGGATTCAAAAACAACCCCACAATTTTTGGAAGACAACTGGCAAAAGAATTGGAAGCGTGGACTTTTTAAAGAAAAAACTGTGGCTCCCAGACCAGAGCACCTACTTCTACAGTATGTAGACAACATTCTAATAGCCACAGAAGAAAAACCAGCTTGCATACAGGTAATCATTGAACTTTTTAAACTTTCTGGGAATGAATGGGTACAAAGTGTCTAAGAAAAAGGCCCAAATCACGAGTGAAGTTGTGTTTTATTTGGGCTTTGAAATCTCAAGAGGATAACGGTGGCTGGGGGTAGACCGAAAAGAGGCTATTTGTGCTATTCCAGGGCCTCAGAATGTGTATGAATTAAGAGCATTTCTGGGAATGACAGGATGGTGTAGGATTTGGAGCCCAAATCACGAGTGAAGTTGTGTTTTATTTGGGCTTTGAAATCTCAAGAGGATAACGGTGGCTGGGGGTAGACCGAAAAGAGGCTATTTGTGCTATTCCAGGGCCTCAGAATGTGTATGAATTAAGAGCATTTCTGGGAATGACAGGATGGTGTAGGCTTTGGATCATGAACTATGGTCTAATAGCCAAGCCATTATATGAGGCCCAGAAAGCTGCCCCTTTTGTGTGGGAAAAACCACAGCAAGAAGACTTCCGAAAGCTCAAGGAGGCTCTGATGACAGCACCAGCTCTTGGCCTACCGGATTTGACTAAAGACTTTCAATTGTTTGTCCATGAGAGGCAGCACCTAGCCTTAGGAGTCCTAACACAGAGGATGGGAAGCTGGAAAAGACCAGTGGGATACTTCTCCAAACAATTGGACTCGGTAAGCAAAGAGTGGCCTTCTTGTTTGCGGGCAGTTGCTGCAACTGTAATACTGATACAAGAGGCGGGGAAATTGACTCTGAGAAAGACTATCACAATTTATGTCCCGCACATGGTAACAACAGTTTTGGAACAAAAGGGGGGACATTGGCTATCCCATAGCAGAATGATGAAATGTCAAGTGATATGTACTGAACAAGATGATGTAATTCTAAAAACAACTAACCCTGTGAATCCTGCAGTGTTTTTGAATACTCCACAGGAAGAGCAGCAACTGGAGCATGACTGCACTGTAACCATTGAACACACATACTCCAGTCGAGAGGATCTGAAAGATGTTCCCTTTGAGAAGCCAGACTGGGAACCATTTACAGACTGCTCCAGTTTCGTCTTGAATGGAACCCGCTACGCAGGATATGCTGTAACAACTGAAAATACAATGGTGGAGGCACATGCGCTGCCTATCACAACCTCTGCACAGAAAGCAGAATTGATTGCATTAATCCAAGCCTTGGAACTAAGTAAAGGAAAGAAGGCTAACATATGGACTGACTCTAAATATGCCTTTGATGTAGTTCATGTCCATGGGGCCCTGTGGAAAGAAAGAGGAATACTGTCCTCACAGAGAACTAATATTAAACATCAAAAGGAAATTTTACAGCTTTTATTGGCTGTACAAGAGCCAGCACAAATTTTGATCATGTACTGTAAAGCACATCAATCTGGAAACACTAAAATAATAGAGGGAAATAGATCAGCAGATCAAACTGCTAAGAAAGCGGCACTACAGCACACGGCAACACAAATGGCACTAATTCCCACTAGAACTGTAAAACCTTCCAAAGAATCTCCAAAATATTCTGGAGAAGTTGATAAATTGGCACAATTGGTAAATGCAATGAAAAATCAAGAAGGATGGTGGGTTACCAGCCAGGGACAAGTAGTGGTACCTCTTCTGATTATGAGGGAAATCTTGCAGGTAAAACATCATGAATGTCATTGGGGTGCAGAAGCCCTGGTACAGCTTTTAAAACGAAATGTAATATCAGTAAAAATGTTAGAAATGGCTAAATCAGTATCTGCAAAATGTGAGATTTGTTTAAAGAATAATCCAGTAGTACGAAAGAAAGTTCAATTGGGCAGAACAAAAACAGGAGTCGAGTCAGGTGATTATTGGCAAACTGATTTCACAGAATTACCTAAATGCATTGGTTACAAATACATGTTGATTGGGGTTGACACCTTTTCTGGATGGCCAGAAGCCTTTTCCTGTCACACAAATCAGGCTAAGGAAACTGTCAAGTGGTTATTGCAAGAAATTATTGCAAGATTTGGAGTTCCACTTGGAATGTCATCAGACAGAGGGCCACATTTTGTGGCTACGGTGGTACAAGAAGTAAGCAAGGTCTTAAGAATTTCCTGGGACTTGCATGCTCCTTGGAGGCCACAATCCAGTGGGAAAGTAGAAAGAATGAACCAAACTTTGAAAAGACAAATCAGTAAGATTTGGCAGGAAGCTAAATTGAAATGGCCCCAAGCACTTCCACTTGCATTGTTACAAATACGAGTAAAACCTAGAAGTTGACTGTCAGTAAGCCCCTATGAAATAATGTATGGAAAACCGTATGAGTCACCTGAGCCTAATCCCAATGTACATGTCAAAGGAAAACAAGAAGTGTATAACTATTTGCTCTCTCTTGGAAAAACTCTAGCCAGACTCCGAGAAACAATAGTGTGGAACCACCCTTTGAC